AGGGAACCAAGAACAAAGTCCTAGGAGAGTTCGGAGCCTGAAAAATTGAAGTGACAGGCAACATTCCATCCCATAAAAAGTATTACACAAGGCTGTGTTCACATCAGCAGCCAACAACGCTGAGAGCCCTAGGCATTGGCACTAGAGAGACTCCAGAAGGGGTGAGGGAGGAAAGGGTACTGAGATAAAAACAGAGGGTCTGGGTTCTAGCATCATTTGAAAGGCACTGGAAAATTCGAATCCTCCAGGCCTTGGTATCCTGGCCTGTGACTGATCCTTGCCTTCCTCCCACACCAAGCCATTCTGGAGACTGAATAAAATTATGTACAAATGTGAAAGCATAAAGCACGCTATAAACCTAATCCTTAATTGTTATAATGAAAATCTGAACAAGACAATGCTTTCTCTGGCTTTGGACTGCATGCCATTTTGTATCGCGTGTTTGGTTCTTTTAGGTGAGAAATAATAGAGGCAAACTTTGAGGCAGCCGAGCTCTCTGACGCAACAATTATAATACTTTAATTGCCCTGGACACTCACCTCGAACACGGCCATACCCACCCAACCGCAGAGCAACATATCAGGGACTTGGGGGAAAGAGAGAGCCGCTGCTTTTCACATCACACACTTTGTTGTCCAGAAAACCCAGTAGAGAAGCCAAGTTGTTTCTTTCCATATCCTTTAGCTGGGAGATATGATTTCCATCAATAGCCTCCTTAGAATAAAATTCGCCCAAAAATATCAATTTGTGGGCCCTTCCCAGTTGATTAGATGAGTCATTCAGGAACTTATACTCATTTTAGAAAGCCCAGATGGGACAGGCTTGTGCTAGCTAATGTGGCCAGCACCAGATGGGGAGGTAGTGGAAATGGCTCTACTTTTAGAGAGGTGGAGGAAAGCAAAGAAACTTCAGAACTCTAAGAGCTCAAGTATTTCACCTCTACATAATGGATGATGGAGTCTCTGTGAAAGTAGATTGTCTTCTGGGCTGGAAGCAGAAAAGAGCAGGTACTAGCATGAAACAGAAAAAATGTTCTCTTTAGGTGGGTTAAATTAGAAGGCGTTCATGTAGGAGTCAGCTGGTCAGCATAAACAAGGTCAGAGAGTAGGGGATGGCCAGAGTGGGCTGAAATGATTTGTTTCCTGCTTGCCAGGAAAAGAATGGTCCTGGGAACCAGCAGTTAGCGTAATGGCTATGTGGCTGGACTCCCGCGTAGTCAACCGTGGTTCACGTCCCGGACCCGGTGGCTTAAAACTCAAGCGTGCGTGCCCAAGATCCCGAGAGGAGAATGGAGGAGAAGGGATTGCGGCGTGACCATCCCCCCTGGGGGGTGATTTCTCACTTTCTGTCTCTATGTCTCTCTCTGTCTGTCTGTCAAGCGCACGCGCCCTATAGCAAAAATCTCTCCAAAAAAAAAAGAATGGTCCTGGCCCCAAACCCTTCCCACTTTTTTTTTTTTTAAAGAGGTTTTTTGCTATAAGATGTGTACACTCACTGGAGAGATAGAGGACAGAGAGACAAAGCAAGAGATCACCCCCCAGTACCACTCTAGGGGAGATGGACTCATTGTATTCCCCTTTCTTCCAGTCTCCTCTTGGGTTTTTTGACATGCGCATACATGCACCTGGTGTGAGTTTCAGGCCTCCGGGTCCAGAATGGGAATCTTGGTGGGCCACATGGGAGTCCAATGACTTAACCAATATGCCACCTGCTGGTTCCATACTACCCACTCCTTTTTTTTTTTTTTTTTTTTGAGTTTTTTTTTTTTTTTTTTTTTTTTTTTTTGAGAGAGAGACTTTGCTATAGGGCATGTGCACTTGCCAGGGAGACAGAGAGCAAGAAATCACCCCTTGGGGGGATGGCCACACCACAATCCCTTTTCCTCCATTCTCCTCTCAGGATATTGGGCACGCACGCACGCATGTACACACACACACCCGACGTGAGTTTTAAGTCGCTGGGTCTGTCCGGGATTCAAATCACAGTCGAATACATGGGAGTCCAGCAATGTAACCATCATGCCATCTACTGGTCTCTACCCTGCCTTAAGGCAGAAGGTAGTGTGGTCCACTGACACATATAGCCTCATTTCCTTATGACGCAGTCATCTATGATCTTCATATGGCTTCTAGATAATCTGCCTGCTGAGCAGCCGTATCTGACCATGCTGGCCAAAGCTTTCTGGTCCCCATAGCAAATGTATTTTTCACAGTAAATGCATATAGTAGTATTCTAGTTTATACATCAGACTTCAATAGGTCTAGCTAGCATGAATATATATATATCCCTAAGAGATTTATCCATTATTAACTCAATCAATCTGAGGCCAACAGGCTAAGCTCCAGGCAGACGAAGCAGCTTCATTATGATCAAGACTGGCAGTATTGCCATGGTGAAGCCAGCTGTGAGGACTCCTGGCTGCTTGTTGGCTGGCTTCGTATCAGGGCTCACTAGTGACATCACACCTCTTTGAGCTGCTTGCACTAGTGGAGTAGACATATCATACCTTATTTTCAACATAGTAAAGGCATATGTTAGAGTGAATGTACGCCTTTCTAGTTTGATTTGATCAAGCCATTTTTAAAGCTCATCTCTGCCTTTCCAACACTAGTGTTTTAGTTTGAACATTCTAGATTAAAAGGCATTTTAAACATTTCCTCTAAAAATAAGAGTAGTAGCCATTTCCTGAACATTTGCATCAATGTATTATATCGTTTAAGCCTTCCTATCACTTGTGAGCCAAGCATCACCATTTCTGTCTTATAGACTTAAAAACAAAACAAACAAACAAAATAGACCTAAGGCTCGGAAAGTTTAAGGAGCTTATACAGGCCACACACAGAGTAGACGGTGAGGGTAGGATTTAAAGCAGGAGGTGTACAGATCCTACACCCAGCACATCCTATGCTACACGGAATAGTCAGATCCCTTTCTTGCTTATTTCCTTGGGATCCACTTCCGGAACTGAAGACAAAGTTATATAATGTTCTTTCTGTCCCTGTGCACACATGCCCAGGACCTCTGGTTTCTCTCCTTGTGCCACCTTAGAGAATACACAAGCAGCAAATGAGTTTTGCCCTGCCCCATCCGGGCTCAGAGGACTGAAGCTTAGCTTTACACAAGCTCATGTTACTACTCCTTTCTTACAGCTATTCATCCTGTCCCAATTGTCTGCTGTAGTTTGGGGCTATTTTGGGGCTTTATTTATTTTTTTTTTTCACAAGAGTACATATAATTCCATGGTAACCAAATTATATTTTCATTTATTCTCATCCCATTTTAGATTTAGTTTTAAATAACTCAGTTGAATTTGAATCAGACAGATTCAAATTGTTATCCTTTTTTAACTACTGACTTAACACCCCCCCCCCATATCAGTGTTTAATTCCTCATTTTAGCTTCTAACTGGCAGGCTACATGCATTGGGATAATTGTATATTCATTCCCCTGTGAGTTCCAGAGAACACCGCTTGCCATTTACAATTTAGACAAGCCCCATTTTCACATCATCCTTCACCTTCCTATCTCCACAGGGACAATCTGTTGATAAAAAAGGGCAGCTAGATAACAGAAAGGAAAAGAAAAATTTAGTGATCCACTCCCCTTGTGTCTCAGTTTTTTAGAACTGGAAAGGGAGAAATATCGAAGCAATGGTGTTTATTGTCCCTTGGCTGATAGAGATGACAGAGGGCTAATGTGCTCAATTGCTGTCTTGCACGAAGGGAGAAGGTTCTTTTTTTTATTTTCAGTATGCAGCCACTCTGTGTTAGTGGAACAATTTCTTACTGGCAGATATTTCGGATGTTCCCAACATTCTGTTACTGCGAACCACGCTGTCATGCATCAGTCGCGACAGCAACCCCCCTCCAGCGTTTACATTTCATGTATCAGACACTGTTCTGAGTGCTTTGCAGACAGCATCTAATTTAATCATCACAAAGCTATTTGAGCTGAGCACCATTCTCATCATCTTTACTTTGCAGCGAAATCTAAAGCAGAGAGAAGTGAAGTAACTTGCCCCAGGTTACAAAGCTAGGAAGCGGTAGGGTTGAACCAAGACTGACTGACTCCTGAATACTACTCTATGCCAGTTCTCAAATGGGCAGAGTCTAATGGAACCTCTGGCTGCCCAGGTATAAGGTACATCCGTCCACCCATCCGTTAGAGGAGCCAGGCATCCCTGTCTGATTCCCGAACCCCCTACCCCATTGTGGTATCGTTGCCCCTGGAACAGTGCCAAGCTGATGGCACAAATTCAATAAATAATTTCTTGACTTGAATGAATAAATACCTGAGTGGATGATTCCTACTAAATCCTAATCAAAAAAATGTGCTGGGAACCAGCAGTTAGCGTAATGGCTATGTTGCTGGATTCCCACGTAGTCGACCGCTGTTCGCATCCCGGACCCGGTGGCTTAAAACTCACGCCGGGTGCGTGTGCGTGTGTGCCCAAGATCCCGAGAGGAGAATGGAGGAGAAGGGATTGTGGTGTGGTCATCCTCCTGGGGGAGGTGATTTCTCGCTTTCTGTTTCTCTGTCTCTCTCTGTCTGGCTGGCGAGCACACGCACCCTATAGTGAAAAACCTCTCAAAAAAAAAAAAAAAGAAAAATGTGCTTATTTGTTGCTATCTAGTCTGATGGGGGCATCCAGGTTCTTGAACGGCAATGTCAGCGAGTTAGAGAGCACGCTTTAACCTCTAAATTGCAGTCTGGGCAAATGTTTCATGTTTTAAAAATTCCTTTCACTAAATGGTTTTAAAGAAAAAAACCACGTCAGTGCACACAGCCAAGCAAAGGCTCAGAATGACTAGAGCCTTTATGACCACGGGTGGTGGTGAGGTTTCGATGAAGAGAAATCCATCGCCCTCTTTGTGTTTCAAAGCACTGTAATTATCTCAGTTGCTTTGAAGCCAATGAAAGGTGGAAAATAAATATTTCAGAAGGACATATAAAAGGGGACATAAGCAACCCCTCCCAACAAACAAAGAGTGTATATCCACCTGCTCTGAGAAAAAACGGAAGCCCTTGTCCTCACGAATACATTCATACGTTTCTCCAAGAACTGGATTAAATGGCTTGCTCCCAGCTCGGAAGTAGCTAGATGCATACGCTGATATTGCAAAGGCTGCCACATACACCTAAGGAAAGGAGGGAAAACACATTGTTATTTCTGCATAGCCAAGAAATTAATTTTGCACAAAGAGATTAAAACACACACACATACACAGACACACACATATAACCTTGATTTATCTCTCTTCGGTTTTATTTCATAAAGCCAAAAAGTTGTCTTTGTTCTAAAGACAATCGAACCAACATAGGCTTAAAGCTACAAGTTTAAATGATGTCCATTTTGGCTCAGATACAAATTAACCAGACATGTTTAAATTGCCCTTTTATTTTGATACTGAAAAGCTAGGAGACGCTATTGAGATAAAGACATTTGTAAAATGAACTACACTGTTTTTTGAACTGTTAAGCTGAGTCTTGAAGCCTGACATTTTCTGAGAATTCTGATATTGTGCTTTTGGGATGGAGAACAGAAATAGTATTTTATAATGTAGAAACCCAAACATTGATTTCAATCAAAGAATCTCTGAGAGTCATTTCTTGAGCCTGGGAAACAAGCCACAGGACACAATAGCTTTAAAGTTCTTCATGAAACATCGCCCCCTTCCCGCCAAAATATATGTATATACATGCATAAATAAAAGGAACATGGAATGAGCAACATCCTTTAGCAGACCTCACACTGTGAGGGTCTCAGCATTTTTATCAGCAATTTTTGGGCATCAAAGAAATATATAACCATTTTTGTCCTTTTTTTTTTTTTTTTGGCCAAAAATGTTCAACTTAGTGATAGTAAACTTGCTTTTAAAATAGTGAGTAGTAATCATCTCAATATTTTTTTTTCTTCTCTGCACATTTTATTACATTTTTTATATTGAAGAAAAGCTGAATAATTTTCATAAATGTCCCCTAATTGGTAACCTTTGAAAAACTTCTGGTGTTGCCTATATTAGGACCCACTTTACTATCTTACGCTATAGAATGCTTGGAGCAGCTGAACAGCTTAGAAACATTCATTCTTAGCAGTTCTGCTTGTTTTGTTTGTCTAACTTGTGAATAATGCCTTATACATGGTTGCAAAAAATAAATCCTCTTTTGCAACCTAGAACTCATTGCTCAGTATGAGTTTTGACATATAAGAGCAAGTATCCTGGGGAAAAAAAAATTCACTAAGGTCACCCCATAGCCTGGCGGTGAAGGGAGTCAGAGCTCACGTGGCTGACTGTGGTTCGAATCCCGGCCCCAGTGGCTTGGAAAACACGTCAGGCTCATGTGTGTTCATGCCCCAAATCTCAACAGGATGGAGAAATGATTGTGGTGTGACCACACCCCAGCAGACAGTACTTTATTCCTCTCCTCCTTTCTCTCATCTCTCTGATGAACATATGCATCTTTGGCAATTAAAAACAATTTACTAAACTTAAGTCAGTTCCTTCTGTGACAGCCTGCTCCTTCCTGGGCTTACTCATATGTTTGTCCCTGTGACACAGAACGGTCACACTGGATGTAAGGAATGCTGAGCCAACCTGAAGCAACTTCATAATTCTAAATACAATGAAATCTATAAAAGTAGTAATCATAATGACAGACAGAGGAGAAAGTAAGGGGGGGGTAGGCAAAATATAGCACCCTTCATTCGGGTGGATGACATGAGAAAGAACCTAAGTGGGAGCATAAGCTGACCCATGAGACAGAAATAAAACCCATGGGACATAGTTCCCGCTCAGTGGTTGTGCTGGGGATGGGAAGCCTTTCCTCAAACTTCTGCTCAAGGTCAGTGATTTGGATCAATCAGGTGAACATCCTAAGGGTCTGTAAACTGTCATGAGAATGAAAATCTCTTAAGATACTTTCATCTTCAAAGTCAATCATTTTCTTTAAAGAAAAGAACTGCTGAGGAATGTTGACTTCTAACACTTGCCTTAAAAGCTATGTGCCTCCATTTTTTTTCAACAGAATTCTCTGAGGGAAATAATAAAGATTAAACACACACACACACACACACACACACACACACACACACACAGAGCTCGTTTTTCTTTCCTACCCTTATTATCATTAGTATCAAGAAAGTAAGTCTCTTTGACTAGGGGAGCCCTGGAGACTGAGTGGAATGACTACAGATGTCTCCTTTGGCAATAGTTAAGATTACCCCTTAGTCTTCAAATCACTGAAGTTTAACCCTCATAAAGTTTTCATGAGGGTGAAAATGCAGAATTCTTAGAACTAAGAAAAGGAACAGCATCCCCCAGCAATGGTAAGGCTCTGGCATGGCTAAGCTGGTGAAGTTGGGGGGCCAAGAGGGTGTGCCCTGATTCCAGTTCAGCCAATCAGCTCATGCCCAGGGGAGAGGCACCCCCGAGGGATTTAGCATCTCCTACAGATGAACTTCCTGTTTGCTGGGCAACATATAAGGAATAAAGAGAGGCCAAAACACCCAGTTTCCAAGAACAAAGTCAGTCCCAGTGATAGAAAGGGCCAATTTGACCACAGTCTCCCCCCTCGTATCTCCCCAGTCCACTCCCCCATGAGGCTGGACACATGAGAAATACTTGGAAGCCCCTTCGAAGGTCAATAGCCCAGGACTGAGTTAACACTGAGCGCAGAACAGAATGAGGATTTTTCTAGGATGCTTTTTTAAAAAACTTATTCTATAAAATAAGAGAGAGAGGGAAAAAAGGAATCATTCTGATGTGAAAACAACTTCTGTGAACAATAGTTTCCAAAAACCTAGGAGATGGGACAATTCCAGAAATAAACACAAACATTCTCCAGGGAAATTTACCCTGGATGAGAAAAACAGCTCAAGAAATTAAATTCTGTCCACCCGGGGTAGTAAAAATAAACACGTAGACAGCCCTAAAGACATGTTTTCCAGTCAGGCATATCAGATGATCAGATGGAAGGCTTCTGGAGAAAGCAGAAACCACAGGGCAGAAGTCCCCCAGGCACCAGCTGCCAAAGACAAGCACCTCCTTCCCGATGTCAAATCCTGACAGGGTGACTGGAAACAGCCAGGCAGGAGAGCAGACCTCTGAGAAATGCACCTATCTGAGGAGCAATCAAAATGAAACCGGGGTGTGGAGGAGAGCTCCACTCCAGGCTCTGATCGATCATGTGAATGACCTCAGGGCTCAGGCACAGAAGGAGGATGGTGCCCTTGGGAGCTGCATCCTCACCATCCTTTCCAGAGAATTGGGAATTTGCGCGGCCTTGTCCAGAAGCTCGCTGTACTCCAGCTCCTCACAGAGCCTCTGCAGCGTGTTCAAGGGCTCGTTTAACTCCACCGGCATGGCCACCTTCGACAGGTCCTTCCCTATGTTATTTCTCAGGATGTTCCACAAGCTGATGTTACTGGTGTTGGGGCCAGGCGCCGGCAAGCAAGTTCTCCTTTTGGACTTGGCCTCCTCGCCCCTTTCAAGAACAGGCCCTGAAAGAGAAAGAGGCCAGGATATCTCTATAAAGCTTTTTATTATATTGTATTACCTTCTAAAAATCCATAAATCGGACTGGCAAGTGGCCTGGTGGTTAAGGGTATTGGACTCCTACGTGGCTGAGCACAGTTTGAGTCCTGAACCTGGAGACTTGCTTTCTCATTTCTCTCTCTTTCTCTCTCACTCTGTCCCTTTCTGATCAAATAAAATAAAATGAATAAATGAATAAAGTTAAATAAAAATAATTCTTAAAAAGATCCATAAATAAAGCCTCACTTAGCAAGTATTCTACTATTAAACTGAGTTATCCAAAGAATGACTAGATGCCAGAAAATAAGCAAAAGAATTCTGAGCGATTCAATACCAAAAATCCATGCACCAAAACTCAGGGATTTTATTCATAGGGAGGCCCCTGGGACCAGCAGATGGTGTTATGGTTATGTTGCTGGACTCCCACATGGTTGACCATGGTTCGAGTCCTAGAACCTGAGGCCTGAAACTCACACCAAGAGCATGTGCATGTATGCCCAAAATCCCGGGAGAAGAATGGAGAACAGACTGCAGTGTGGTAATCCCTGCTGGGGGGTGATTTCTCACTGTCTCTCTCTCTCTGGAGAGTTCACACATTTTTGTCCTATAACAAAAATCTCTCTCTTGAAAAGGGGGGAGAGTAGCCCTTAATTTCCTATTCAAAAGCTAGTTTTTGGAGTTTATATATACTTAAAATAAAATCAGAAATCAGATTTTAAGCCTATAGCAGATTACTGGTTATAAAAACTTATATGGCCTGCCTTTGGTTTGGTAGTTAAGGGACCTGGACTACATGGCCGATCATGAGGTTGAAGCCCAGATCAGGTGATTTGAAAAACACAATGGCCACGTGAGTGTGCCCAGAATCCCAGCGGGAGGGAGAGATGGAGGAGACAGGATTGTGGTGTGACCATGTCCCATAGGGGGATGTTTTTTTCCCATTTTCCTTCTGTTTCTTTCTCCAGAGAGTGCATGTACCCTCTGTCAAAAAAATTAAGAAAAAAAAAGAAACAAAGTTTTAAACAAACAAACAAAAAATCACTTAAATTCTCATTAAAAACAATTGTGCTTATTACAGGAAAATTATAAATTAAAAAAAGGTCATCCCTAATTCTACCACCCAAAAGTAGCACCCATTTAAATTTTGGAGTATCTTCCATTTAGTGTTTTCTCCATCTGTATACAAGTTGAACATCCATTATCCAAAAATCCAAAGTGCTCCAAAATCCAAAACTTTTTGATCTCTGACGTGACACCAAAAATGCAATGTATATGCAGATATTCCAAAATCCAAAAAGAATCTGCAACATTTTTAATCTCAGGCTTTTGTGGTAAGGGATATTCAATTTGTAGTTCATACACTGTATCAATTTTAGGTTCGGCTTACTTAGCTAAGAGAAAGATTTTTTCCATGTTATTTAAAATTCTCCTAACACATCATTTTTAGTGACACTAAAAATACTTCATGGCACAGATATGCCATCATTTACTGAATCATTCATCTACTGTTGGACTTTTTGATTTGTCTCAGTGTGTTGTGATGTAAATAACAAAACAAAACCAACACATATTTAGATAGTGCCTTTATTTTTGATGATTTCCTTAGAATATATAGAAGTGGGATTACTATGCCAGAGAACATGAATATTTTTTCAACTTTCAATTCAAAGGATTAGACTACTCGTCAAAAAGGTTGAACCAATTTCCCCATTTATTGGCAGCATGTGAGTATCCATCTCCTGAGGCTTTTCCACGCTTACCATTTTTCATTTTTCTAAAAAAAAAAAATTTATTTATTGATTTACTTGGAGAGGTTTTTGCTCTAGGTTGCGTGCACTCGCCAGACAGACAGAGAGAGACAGAGAAACAGAAAGTGAGAAATCACCCCCCGGGGGGATGGCCATGCCACAATCCCTTCTCCTCCATTCTCCTCTTGGGATCTTGGGCACGCACGCACACACGCCCGGCATGAGTTTTAAGCCACCGGGTCTGGGACATGAACCGCAGTCAACTACATGGGAGTCCAGCGACATAGCCATTATGCTAACTACTGGTCTCCATTTTTCATTTTTGTCAAATTGGAAGGTAGACAGTATGATCTTCATGCACTCACTTACATTCTAAAAATTTCTACTGTAGTTGAGACGCTTTCATGAGCATTTCGACTTTTTTGAATTGTCAACTACCTGTGTAAGTAGTCACACCATAATCTTTGTTTTTTATATGTTTTACAATTTAATAATCTCCATTTGGCATTTAAATTTGTTTCATGGAGTTTTTTGGATAAATAGAATATTTGCAATTTAGGTATATCAATATATCAATCTTTCCCTTTATTTAATGCTCTCAAATCCTTTCCTATCCCAACTGTGCCTATTTGCAAATGAATTCTTCCACATTACACCAACGTATTTTATTGGTATATACTGGGTCATCAGAAAAGTCATGATGCATTTTTCTGGTTTTTTTTCTATGCAAAAAATTATTTTGCAGCGCACAGTATTATTATCCCCATTTTACAAATGAAGAAAATAAGGCACAGAGAAGTTAAGTCGCATGCCCTAGAACACACAACCAGAGAGTGCTGGAGCTGGAGTCTAAGTAAATTAACTGAAGTCTCATTCCTGAATTCATATCCTTAGCCATGTAGCCTCCCCACAGTGCACTCAGCGCAGTAACAGATTCTAATATGTGCCCAGTGATTTGGTGGGGATTAATGAACAAGAAACACTCTAATTACCTAAGGTTTACTACACATTCAGAGAAATTCTAGTATAATAGTATATCAAGACCTTGATTTCAAAACCTACTTCCTTTTGCAGGCAAAACTGTTACAGGATGTAAAGGTTTTTTCTGTATCCAATATTTTCATTAGAGTACTGATGTTTAGAAATTGAACCCTCCTAAGAAAATGTCTGTCAAGAACTAGAGGACACTCATTTTTAATATACAAATACAGATGAGAAAAAAACCTAGGTTCTGCTGTTTGTTCAAGCGAAAGCAACATTAGTTAGCATTCCAGCAAAATAGTTGTAGAATAAGATACAGAAAACCAGCCCTAACGGCTTATCTGCTTTTCTTGGCTGGCGCCAACCCAGCACAGTCCCAGTCATAGGACCTAGATAATGCCCCCGGGGGGATGGCCATGCCACAATCCCTTCTCCTCCATTCTCCTCTTGGGATCTTGGGCACGCACGCACACACGCCCGGCATGAGTTTTAAGCCACCGGGTCTGGGACATGAACCGCAGTCAACTACATGGGAGTCCAGCGACATAGCCATTATGCTAACTACTGGTCTCCATTTTTCATTTTTGTCAAATTGGAAGGTAGACAGTATGATCTTCATGCACTCACTTACATTCTAAAAATTTCTACTGTAGTTGAGACGCTTTCATGAGCATTTCGACTTTTTTGAATTGTCAACTACCTGTGTAAGTAGTCACACCATAATCTTTGTTTTTTATATGTTTTACAATTTAATAATCTCCATTTGGCATTTAAATTTGTTTCATGGAGTTTTTTGGATAAATAGAATATTTGCAATTTAGGTATATCAATATATCAATCTTTCCCTTTATTTAATGCTCTCAAATCCTTTCCTATCCCAACTGTGCCTATTTGCAAATGAATTCTTCCACATTACACCAACGTATTTTATTGGTATATACTGGGTCATCAGAAAAGTCATGATGCATTTTTCTGGTTTTTTTTCTATGCAAAAAATTATTTTGCAGCGCACAGTATTATTATCCCCATTTTACAAATGAAGAAAATAAGGCACAGAGAAGTTAAGTCGCATGCCCTAGAACACACAACCAGAGAGTGCTGGAGCTGGAGTCTAAGTAAATTAACTGAAGTCTCATTCCTGAATTCATATCCTTAGCCATGTAGCCTCCCCACAGTGCACTCAGCGCAGTAACAGATTCTAATATGTGCCCAGTGATTTGGTGGGGATTAATGAACAAGAAACACTCTAATTACCTAAGGTTTACTACACATTCAGAGAAATTCTAGTATAATAGTATATCAAGACCTTGATTTCAAAACCTACTTCCTTTTGCAGGCAAAACTGTTACAGGATGTAAAGGTTTTTTCTGTATCCAATATTTTCATTAGAGTACTGATGTTTAGAAATTGAACCCTCCTAAGAAAATGTCTGTCAAGAACTAGAGGACACTCATTTTTAATATACAAATACAGATGAGAAAAAAACCTAGGTTCTGCTGTTTGTTCAAGCGAAAGCAACATTAGTTAGCATTCCAGCAAAATAGTTGTAGAATAAGATACAGAAAACCAGCCCTAACGGCTTATCTGCTTTTCTTGGCTGGCGCCAACCCAGCACAGTCCCAGTCATAGGACCTAGATAATGACCTTGGAACCTCCATTCGCTCTGCTACCTGTGGCTCCCTCACTAAAGCCTCAGAGAGACGGAGGACCTCTGTAGGTGTCTTCCTCGTTGAAAGAGGGAGTGCCATCTTGGCATATGCTGTTTGCTGAGGTAAGATGATTCTTCATCTTTTAATTTACTTCCTTGTTTTTAGATAATTAACATCTGATCTCGAGTCTGTATTATTGGACTTCTCCTTAGAACCAACTGGCTCTTTTTTTTTTTTTTAAGAATTATTTATTTAATTTTATTTATTCATTCATTTTTTCATTTGACCAGAGAGAGACAGAGAGAGAGAGAGAAAGTGAGAAGGCAAGTCACCAGGTTTGGTACTTGAACTGTGGTCAGCCGTGTGGGAGTGCAGCACCTTAACCACCATGCCTCCTGCTGGTCCCCCAACTGTCTTTTAGACTGTTCCACCAAGGAGTTCATCTCTCCAAAAACATTTCAAGCAAAATACAGAGCATGATGAATGTGTCACTTCCAGCAGGTGTGGTGCTGAAATGATGCTCTTCTCTATTCTGCCGTCCTAAAGGAGTGCCTCTTCAGCATTTGAATAACAATTCATCATCATAGTTCACACACACTCATTGAGAAGAGAAACACTAAAACATCAGAAAGATGCCTGACACGGTCTCTATCCTCTCTCCGTGCATATGTGAACACAGGTGGTGCTTCGAGTAGCCAATGCGTGGTTCAGATAAACCTAGAGACCTCAAGGCCTAATCACGAAATGCTAAACCTGGAGGTATCTGATGCTACCAGCACCAATGCAGACAACTGCCCATTGGGTAGATTCCTCTTAAAAGCATCTTCCTAAACAGGCTTCAGCCCGCTCTCTAAAGTCCTAAATCAGAACAATTTGGGTGATAGCCAGATGCTTCAGGTATGCCACAGGGTTTAGTGTTATAAAAGATCCTTTTGGCCATAATTTTTCCCTCTTAGGATCAGCTACTAATAAAGGAATATTTTAGGATAGTGTGAAGGTCCCTGCTTCTAGAAGGAAGCATTGTTATTTTCAAATGTGTTATCTTGAAGAATATGAAGTAAACTATCACTTACACCAGAAATTTTATTATATAAGCCCTACCAAATTCCCAAATTATGGAGACTTCAAGATCCCTAATAGCAAATGCTATGCTCTTTTTTTTTTTTTTCTTCCCTTTAATTTTGCCAGAAGTTATGCTGTATACTTACCAAAGAGACAAAGAGGAGGAAGAAGGAAAAAGCATCCCCCTAACGGAACATGGTCATGCCACATTACTTTCTCCTTTATTTCTGTGTCTCATTGGGATTTTGGGTGCATGTACACACATGTGTTCAGTGTTTTTAAGCCTCTAGATCAGGGATTCAAACTGTATGGTTGGCCAAGTGGGATCCAGCTCCCTTAATCACTAGACCACAGGGCTGGCCTGACAAAAATGCAACATGCTAATAGAGTCACAGAGGGACTATTCAACCATATACAAGACGTAAATCTTACCCAAAGTCTGTCTTTCATTATCTAAATCATTACTGAGATTGTCTAAGGAAAGATTATCACTTATGTCACTGACGTATGAATCATCATCAGAAATCTATGGGAAAGAAGAAATAATTAACATACGTTAGAGTAAGAGTAAACAGAGCCAGATTTTTATAAAATCCTTATGACAAGTAATCAAACATTTTGGGTCCCACATGCAACTTAACGACATAATTTTAAGATACTATTTTCATAGCGGCCTATACACCAACCTGCCTAGGAGGTGTTAATAGCAAACACCTGTTATTAAACTTCTTGTACCTTCTTATTTTCATAATAAAATAGGCAAGTAAACTCAAGATTTTAGTTATTACAAACATTCATGTTAATTCAGACTGTAGTTTCAGAATTTCTTAGTATTTAGGTAGAAGAAGTTAAAATTTGTGAACTATTTGTGATAAGAATCTTCTACGTGAGTTAACATAGAAACAAGATTACTATTTCTATACTTAGAGGTAGAATTATCAGTACACATTTATACTTGGTAATGTTAACTAATCAGGAAAGTGTGCCTTTTTTTAACAATAATTTTAAGTGATATAAAGTGTGCCTTTTTTTAACAATAATTTTAAGGGCTATTATAGACTATAAGTTAATTATAATAATATGATCATTATATGATCATTATACGTTATAAGTTAACATGGGTCAAACTCCATGATTAAAAAATTTAGGATGTCAATTTTTTCCTTACAGTGGAAATACTACAGTATTGATTAGATAGAAGTCAAAATTAGTAATCTGTACTTGAAAAAACGTATAACAAATAAATAATAAAAGCGGAAGAAGTGTCCACCGCTCTCTATTTTTACAACTTTTTTCCTCTAACATCTTGTATCATTTTATGCCTTTTGGGTATGAGCTATGGGAGATGGGAGGAGCTTCAGAATGGAATGGTATAAGGGGTCATTAAATTTTGAGTATATATGCATATATATATATATATAATGTGGAATTTTACTGAACAGGTTAATCAACGGAGCAACAAAAGAGATTCAAGGCACCTAACTGAAAACAGTGCTCAAACCTCATTTTCTGAAGAACTTGGAGATAGGAGAACTTCTTGTGCATCAAAAAACTCTGACAGGGAGTCCGTGATGGAGAGCCGACTTTCATTGGAAAGCTGGTGCACTAGAGCTCGGTTTTCATCTCTGGAGTTTTCCTATTTAAAGAACAAAACCAAAAACGTATATATTTAGAAACAGTCTCAAGAGAAGCAAAATAACCAAATGATGCAGTTGCATAATGCACAAGATCACAGGGCCATGCAAACAAGAAACTCACAGCAGAGGTCGGCTCCGAAGCTGAGGACAAAACGCCTCATGCAAAGCCGAATGAAGAGTGAGGCTCTCCTTCAGACAGACACCTCCTTCATAGGCATCGTCGCTGCTCATACACATACATGCACACATTTCAAGGCAAACAACGGCAGTCCAGGTCAACCTTTGTTCCATTGAAGGGAAGAAAAATCCCAGCACTCTCTGAATCGTAGCTTCTTATTCTCTACCACTGCTGGGTATTTCTTTTCATCCTAAAATTGCCTCTCAACTGCCCTCAGTGTATATCTTTGCAACATAGTCTTCTCCTGCCCCTGCGTTTTCTCAGCAGCCAACATGCTGCTTTGAGGTGTCCCTTGACAAATGAATAGTGTGTTCTGATGCAGAAGTCCCCCAGTGGCAGGTCATTCATTATTCATGGATAAATGAGACACATTCCCTTTGTCTTCCTCTGCTCACCATGACTCTTCAAGGGAAAAAAAAAATCCCCAATCCTCTTTATAAACCTCTGTACAAACAACACAATAGAGTATCACTAATATTCCATCTTGTGTGGTCCTCCATTCTCCACTGTGCTATGTCTAGACTTTCCTCTGGGAAGGATCTAAATATTTGGGGAGTGTGCTTTCTATTTTGTTTGCAAGTGAAAATCCAATTCAACTGAACAGACTGAGCAGACGACTTGTATATAGCCCTGAGCTGGCTGGGAGGGAAATATTTTCATGGACAGGCTAAGGTGCTGGCCTGAGTGAATGGTGCAGACAACACACCCCAACACACATCGGACCAAGACTGTGGAACAAAGTGCTACCAAAGCCGAGGAAGGGGAGATTGATTCTGATTAGGGAGCTTTGGCTTGGGAAGAGCTTTATAGCAGCTCCACCCAAGGAAAAAGAATAGATTCAAAACAGTTTACTCCTTGGAAACAGAGCAGATGGTTCCCTGGAGCTTCCCAAACAGTTCCCATTTTTCACTGGGCTGATATAGGAGCTATTTCTATGTCATTATGTACCAGATATGTGAGTTTCAGAACAATTTGGGGAACAAAAGTTCAGGCAGACTGTGTCTCACCCTGAAGTTTTATGAGTACAGGTATACTCTGCAGAGCCATAAATATAAGTTATACCCAAAGAGGAGATGTTATGACAGAAGGACCTCACAGATGTTCATAATTAATAAAGGGCAGGCAGCTACCTCATGCAGTGTTCACTTCGGGAACACCTTGAAGTATATAACTCTTTCTCTTGGATTCTTCCTAAGACATCTGCCCAAAGTATTAAAGATCCTGCCTATTTTAATATCCATTGTAGCCCTTCCTTCTCCATCCTAACAAAAAGATCACTTTAGAGCCTACGGGGTCATCGGAAAAGTCATGACATATTTTTGCATAGAAAAACATAAAAAAAATACATTATGACTTTCCCAACAACCTAATATAAGTATCACATCTGTCATCTTCAAGGTAGCGCTGTCTCTTTTTGAAAAAAAGAGCCAGCCGTAGGGACCAGCAGATGACGTAGTGGCTA